ACAGCGCCACTTCTGGCTTTTTCTGAGGAGTTTATAACAGATAAGAAGAGTCTGGCAGGCTGGCTTTGAACCATGATCCTCATATCTCAGCCTCCTGAGTAGCTAGGATTATAGGAGTGAGCCACCGGCGCCCAACTTAAGTACAACTTTTACATGGGCTTCATAAACCTGTCTTAAAGGTTTCTCTTTAATTTACAAGTAATTAGTATCTTTACATTCAAGAAATCAAAATTTAAGTTATTTTAAAAAGTAAGAGAGTTAGGCATCTATGGCTATGTACAGAATCCTAGCTACTCAAGAGGCTGAGACCTAAGTGTCAAGGTTCAAAGTCAGTCCAGGTAGACAAATCTGAGATACTTACCTACAATTACCTAGCACAAAAGCCAAAAGGAGGTATATGTCAAATAGTAGAACACCAGCTTTGAGTGGAAAAGCTAAGCAAGATCATGAGAGCCTGAGTTCAAGCCCCAGTACTGAGGGGGTTGGGGGAAAGAGAAGTGTCACACAGTACCCCATATACGTTATTTCCACTTTATAACTAAAACAAACACAAAAGATTTGGTGATACAGAACAGCAGAAAATATTTATCTGTCATAAAGAGTGTAGCTTAGGATGTTTTATTCTCCCAAAATTTCTTTGCTCTAAAAATTAGATGAAGAAAGCTAATATTTTCTGTGTATGTAATTTTATTTATTTATGATTGTCGGTCATGGGGCCTGAACTCTGGGCCTGGGTGCTGTCCCTCAGCTCTTCAACTCAAGGCTAGAGCTCTACCACTTGAGCCACAGAGCCACTTCCGGCTTTTTCTGCTTATGTGGTGCTGAGGAATTGAACCCAGGGCCTCATGCATGCAAAGCAAGCACTCTACCACTGAGCCACTTTCCTAGCCCCTGCGATTGTTGTTTTATACATACTAACAATTAGAAATATCTACAATAGCTTCCTCCCCTACCATGCGCCCTTCAAGATGCTTCTCTCAGCAACCAGGTTCTTTTCTTCTCTTATTTTTAAAAGTGGCAAAATTCTAGAGTCAAATATAGAAGTGATCTCAGCAATAATCACTATTTTTAACAATTGAGCCAGACATCAGGATAATCTAAGATGTTTGAAATTATATCTATAATCACCCCACTTGTGAAAAAAGATAAGGCAATGTTTCAAAATACTCTTTAAACATCTGATGGCTCACTGTAGTTTTCTAAAACTGAGTGATTTTTCATCCAGTAGATTAAAGAAAAGCATCTATTTAGATAAAAAGCATATGCCATTCTATTATTATTATTTTGGGGGGAGGGGGTCCGGTCGTGGGGCCTGAACTCTGGGCCTGGGTGCTGTCCCTCAGCTCTTCAGCTCAAGGCTAGCTCTACCACTTGAGCCACAGAGCCACTTCCGGCTTTTTTTTCTTTTTGTTTATGTGGTGCTGAGGAATCGAACTCAGGGCCTTATGCATGCAAGGCAAGCACTCTACCACTGAGTCACCTTCCCAGCCCCTCCATTATTTTTTTAATCTTTCAATTTCTATATGTAATAATGCTATTTCAAGTAAGAGAGCTAAAGAAACTTAACCAAAATAAGGAAGAACAACAACAATAAACACAGAGTTTTCATTCTGTTGATTCTAAGAAAGCAACATAATAATCTAAGAACATAAAGTAACATTTCAGGTGTAGAATATTCATAATAACCATCAGAACATGCCAGAAATTACATAGGCAAAATTTTTAATTCCTCTACTTGAATTTGCCATAAATTTCACTATTAAATCATCTGAACTTCATATATTTAGGATATATGATCTCAGTACCTATTTAGGATATATGATCTCATGACAATAATCACCATTATAATCCTAACATCCAATCTCTTCTCTTTACTACCACAATCAATGAAATCCAGTATCATTTTTAATGCTAAGAAATAATAGGAAAGTTGGTTATCAGACTTTGTTTCAAAGGTCAAGAAGGTATTTCAAACAGGCTACTCCAGAAATTTGGGGCATGTTTACTTTTTTTTAAGGACAAAGAAAATAAAGTTATAAAAGGTTCCTTATGATGGGTCTGAAAACAATTTTTCTTATGAGTTATATAGCTACATACTAGCAAGATACTATATTACCCTTCATCCCAATCTTAGGACAGTTCTTTTACTTCTTTAAGCCAAGAAAACACAAAACATGATGTAAAAATAATGACAGGAAAACAAAATTAAAAATTACAGTTCATAAGGTTTATGCTTTGCAATATCAATTCACAAAAAAGTGATTAATCAAACTATTCAGACATCTACATAGAAAGTTGGATAAATAACTTTCAAGTTCAACTAGTGGAGATTTTTTCCTATGGTCCTTCTGATTAACAAGCTTGATCTTCCAGTAGAGGGAGCAAAATCCCATACTTAAAAGTCACAAGGGATGGGTTTAAGTGCCTTTTAAGTACACCTAAGTACACCTTTAATACATCTACCTAGACATTTCAAAAAAAAAAGTATGTTTAAACTAGTATCTGAAATAGATTGAAATAAACCTAATGGGAAAATCGTAGACTTTATTTTTTTGAAATATCGTAAGCTTTCAAATAAAAAACTGGTCCTTAAATACTTCAAGAACCATGGTTCAAGAACACTGTCTACTTATTCTCACATATAACTAAGGTATTAAAGCATTTATTAAACAATGTAACAAAATTCCAGAGAAATATAAAATATCACATAAGATTTTATTATAAAATTAATGACACATTTATAGATTGCTTTATAGATTTGCTTTACAATTAACATACACAATAGATTGTAACTAAAACACATCCATGCAGTTCCATGCTCATTTATAGATTGGATTATTTCTTCTTTTTGCTAAAAAGAAAAAAAAGAAGAAAAGACAACTAATGACACAGCCTGGCACCAGTTGCTCACGCCTGTAATCCTACCAACTCAGAAGGCTGAGATCTGAGGATCACGATTCAAAGCTAGCCTGGGTAAGAAAAGGCCATGCGACTCTTATCACCAATAAAACCACTAGAAAACCGGAAATGCCGCTGTGGCTCAAGCAGTAGAGTGCTCACCTTGAGCTGAAGAGTGCAGGGACAGTGCCCAAGCCCAGAGTTCAAGCCCCACGACCGACAAAAAACAAAACAAAAAAACAACTAATGACACAATACAGAAAACTAAAGCATAACTGTACTATATCTGTTTTTTTCCATTTATATGCCTTAATGTTACTTTTTCTTTTAAAAGTATTATATAAATATTTACTAAGTACTTACCTATAAACTAGGCATAATCCTAAGCACTTTTATATGTTGTAACTGTTAATTCTTCCCAAATCCCTATTAGATTCTACACCTATTTCATATTTTAGAAATAAAGAATAAGAAACGCATAGAAATTGTGTGATTAGCTCAATGTCATGCAGCTAGTATGAGAAGCCAAAGATTCGTACCTACTTTGTCTAATACCAGAATCTGAACTGTTATCCTAATTTTAAATTGTGATTTTTCCCCATATCATTAGCCAAAATTTTCTCAGTGTTAACCTTCAGTTTTTTCAATATTTAAAATAATCCATCAAACACAGAAATAATAATAAACTATGCTGTTTCTAGCTGTCCCTTATAAACATAGGAAGATAAATATCTTTGAGTATATATATTTGCTATGTTTAGGATGCTATAATATTCCATTAAGTTGCTTTTAAAAATATTTTTACAGGGGCTAGGAAGGTGGCTCAGTGGTAGAGCACTTGCCTTGCATGCCTGAGGCCCTGGGTTTGATTCCTCAGCACCACATAAGCAAAAAAGAAAAAAGCCGGAAGTGGTGCTGTGGCTCAAGTGGTAAAGCGCTAGCCTTGAGCTGAAGAGCTGAGGGACAGCGCCCAGGCCCAGAGTTCAGGCCCCACGACCAGACCCCCAAAAAAAATTTTTTTTTTACAAATTATAAGAAACCCATGAAACTACCAATTTTACCAAAACTTTGACAGCACTGGCATTAAAATTAAAAATTTTTATTAAAGTTGTATATTGTACGAGTTTTGTTGAGGTTTATTTCTTTTGAATTTCATCCTATGTGCTTTAGCTAGTTATCAAATGAGATTGTATGCTAGTTAATTTATATGTGCCTTTATGGGGATATTAATACTATGTCCACTATATTTATAAAAATTTTCACCTATTTCCCAATTATTAAGGTTTTGTCCATTGTGGGGCTTGAACTCTGGGCCTGGGCACTATCCCTCAGCTCTTCAGCACAAGGCTAGCACTTTACCACTTGAGCCACAGTGCCTCTTCCAGTTTACTGGTAGTTAATTGGAGATAGAAGTCTCACGAACTTTCCTGCCAGGGCTGGTTTTGAACCATGATCCTCAGATCTCAGGCTCCTGAGTAGCTAGGACTACAGGTGTGAAACACTGGCAAACCACTTTAAGGTTTTATTTTTTATAAAACCTGTTAAAAGTAAATACAGCTGGGCACTGGTGGGCTCACACCTGTAATCCCAGCTAATCTTGAGGCTGAGATGTGAGGATCAGGGCTTGAAGCCAACCCAGCCAGGAAAGTCTATGCGACTCTTTTCTCCAATAAACTCTTTAGAAAAAGCCAGAAGTGACACTGCAGCTCAAGTGGTAGAGCACTAGCCTTGAGCAAAAGAAGTTCAGGGACAGTGTCCAGGCTCAGAGTTCAAGCCCCAGAACCGGCAAAAGCAATAAAATAGGTCTTAAAAACTTGTAATTTTCTAAACATAAAAGTTAATTTACTGCATTGAATACATCAATAAATCACTTTCATCAACTTAAAAAAAATAATATTGGAGAGCAAATCTAGGGCCTTCCACATGCTATAGGCAAACATTGAGCTATACATCCACAGCCTCTCAACATTTTTAAAGCAAGATCCAATACATATACTAATACAACGCTGAGACTAGGAAATCTTATTTATATAAAATTAACTCAATGAGTAAAAGCACATTTTAGCCCTAATTGATAAAGTTAAAAAAAAAGGACTACATACCTGTCGCTGTAAACACAGGCGATTTCTGTCATGTAAATGCTGATGATTAGGAAATGATGAATGCCAACTCCGAGCCTGATATTGCAACTGAGTATGAGCCATATCAGAAGGTCGTGCTATAAGATGGGAAGTAAAGTGTCGATCAAGGTCATGATCCAAAACATGATTTGAATTATCTTGTCCAAATGTTGTCTCATCAAATTGGGGAAGAAGACCCTCCTGAAGAAGTTCCTCTGAGTCAAGTCCTGTAAATGGCTCAGTATGAGATCCCATTTGATGAAGTAAATTCTCTTCTAAAGTTGAAAAACCATTGGTTTCTACATGATCACTGAAATGGCTCATTTGAGCTCCTGAGTCAACAGGATCTTGGAAGTTCATGTGCACAGGAGATAATTTTGAACTGCTATAATTACCCTGAGGATGTGATGAATGCAACATTTGGAAATTATTTGAATTCAATGATGCACTGGGGTTTAGGATATGCTGAGTGGATTCTTGCTTGATTCTCCTATGAGGCGAAAAGGAATTACTTCCAGTAAAATCAGATAAAGTCTGATTTGCATGATTAGGTGCAAGAACTGCAGAGGATTGAAGGAGACTGTTGGGTGATACATGATTACTGGGAAAGGAATAATGTGAAGAAAACTGCTGTGAATTGCTGACAGAACAAGAAGTCATATTTGGAGATGATCCATTAAAATTTCCGTCTTGATGACTGTTACACTTAAGGAAGTGTACTGAAGGATTTGATGTTTGAGAAAAATGAATTGAATGAGATGGTTGTGAAGCAGATGCATTAGTAATATGAGATGGGTGATTAACATTGACTCTATGTGGACCAGAAACATTAACATCTATAAAATTTTTAGATTGGCTAAGAGAGTTTTGCCCTGGATTAAGATTATTTCTGTTCTGTTGTGAGCGTAATGAAGTACACTGTGTTTGTTGTTCATTGGCCTGAAATAAGGCAAAGTCAGGGTGTGCCACAAAGCTTTTATTTTGATGCATAGAGTGTGAATGTCCTTGTTGGTGAAAAGGAGATCCATTTTGATTAGAAATGCTAGGAGCTGTCTGATGGCCCCACATTGGACTGCCATCTGCTACATCTGGAAACAAACCATTGGGTTGGTTTGGGGGGTGGATAGGAGAACAATTAAATTGAGAATGTGGAGATAACATATGTTCAGCTGGGCTTCCAAAAGATTGATTAACTTGGTGAAATTTCATTGAGTCAAACTGATTTAACTGTTCAAAATCAGTCATCTTCTGATGTGTTGGAGTACTTTGAACATGGTTCAATGAGTCTATGTGCAAAGGTTCAAATTCTGCACCCAAGTTCAATTCATCAACTAGTGAGACAGGTCCTGGTTGTACAAACGTATCATCTGACAATCCTTCTAAAGTCTCACCAAAAAGATTGGCATCATCAAAGAAGTCCATGATTGGATCTGTCATCTTCAAAATTAAGTAACAATTTGGGCTCTTAACTCCAAATGGAGTTTATTTAGCTTGTCTGTAGTAGATATTATTGGATCATTTCCAAAGGTCATCCGCTAACCCAAAACAGGCCAATGTTCATTACTGCTCTCCATAATGACATGTGGTGAAGTGTCAGAATCCTGGGGAAAAAAAGAAATGTAAATTTACTAATAAGTATTCATTAAACTTACATTTAAAAAACCTTAGGTACAGAATTTTTAATGAAATAATTAACTTCTAATAGCTCATTAATATTCTCTTCAAGGAAACAAAGGCTCCTGTAGTAGACAGAAATATATAGACTTAAAAGCAAAGGTGTAGGGGCTGGGAATGTGGCTCAGTGGTAAAGTGCTTGCCTAGCATGCATGAAGCCCTGGATTCGATTCCTCAGTACCACATAAACAGAAAAAGCCAGAAGTGGTGCAGTAGCTCAAGTGGTAGAGTATTAGCCTTGAGCCAAAGAAGCTCAGGGACAGTGCCCAGGCCCTCAAGCCCCAAGACTGGCAGGAAAAAAAAAGGCAATAATGTAGCCAGGAGCTGGTGGCTCAACCCTGTAATCTTAGCTACTCGGAGGCTAACATCTGAGGATCACGGTTTGAAGCCAGCTGGGTCAAGAAAGTTAGTGAAACTCTTATCTCCAATAAACTACTCAGAGAGAGTCGGAAATGGTGCTGTGGCTCAAGTGGTAGAGCACTAGCTTTAAGCACAAAGAGGCTCAGGGACAGTACCCATGCCCAGAGTTCAAGCTCTAAGACCAGACAAAAACAACAACAACAAAAATACCCCACATAATAATATATATACTTCATTCCAAGTATATATAGTGAGAAAAGAATATAAAATAAGCCTAGGAATAATATGCCATATGCTATATGCCCATGGAATAGTCATCGCCCCCAGGATGATACTAGGATGATAAAAAATAACTGATCTAAGCCACACACCAGTGGCTCACATCTGTAATCCTATATACTCAGGAGGTTGAGATCTAAGGATGGTGGTTCAAAGCCAGTATGGGCAGCAAAGTTGATGAGACTCTTATTTCCAATAAACTGCTCGAAAAAAAGGTCCTAAGTGGATCTTAGCTCAACTAGTAGAGTGCTATCCTCAAGCAAAAAAAAGGTCAAGGACAGTGCTCAGGCCGTGAGTTCAAGTCCCAGGACAGATACATATGTATACATGCACACACACACACACACACACACACACACACACACACACACACACATATCTCTGAAAGAGAATATGAACAATTAAATACTCCACGGATTATAATAAACTTTATATGTACTTTGATAAAAGTAAGCAACAGAGGAAAAGTATATAATGGAAAGAAAAAGAAAACAGACACCAATGCCTCATTATAATAAGATACACATTGCAATAAGCCTTAGTTATGAAACTAAGTACTAAGTGTGAACTGTGAGAAATGCCCATAAAACATCAAGTCAGTCTAAGTTATGTATTTCTGTTTGTAATATTTTGAAATAACTATGTAACCCAAACTGGCCTTCAGCTCTCAATTCTCCTACCTCTGCCTCTAGAGTGCCAGAATTATAGGCTTGTACCACAACATCTGGCATGAGTGCAATTTTAACTTATTACTTAATTAATCAAGTACTCCTGGACAACATCATCATATCCAAAACATCTACACATAAACTGTAAAAATTCCTTGCCCCCAGAATGAAGCTTTAAGTAGATGAGACTCTGAGTAGGGAAGGGAGTCTGCAATGAGAAAACATATATTAAAGAAAATATGGTAAATGTGCCTTAAGAGAGCTATAAACTCATTTATAAAGTGAATTATGAAGTAAGAGAGCATATTTTGCCGATTTTTTTATTTTGTAATTATTTTATTTTATTTTATTTTTTTTGCCAGTACTGCAGCTTGAATTAAGGGCCTGGGCACTGTCCCTGAGCTTCTTTTTCTCAAGACTAGCACTCTACCACAATGAGCCACAGCTCCACTTCTGGCTTTTTCTGCTTATTTGGTACTGAGGAATCAAACCCAGGGCTTCATGCATGCCAGAAAAGCACTCTATCACTAAACCACATTCCCAGCCCCAGAAAATGATTCTTTGAATAGGTAACATTTGGAAGAATCCTTATAAAAGGTTTAGAAGAGTAGACAATGAGTTCAGAAATAAAATCTGGCAGGAGTTAAGTACTGTGTAGGAAACAGTACTTCTCCCACTGGAAAAGATACACAAAGGGAAGAAAGTAGAAAGTAAATCAATGTAAAGTAAGTGGAGATATAGAAACTGGAATAATGATAATGTTGCCCATTAAAATACTATATCTGGCTAGGTGCTGGTAGCTCACATCTCTAATCCTAGCGACTCAGGAGGCTGGGATCTGAGGACTGTGGTTCAAAGCCAGCCCAGGCAGGAAAGGGTATGAGACTCTTATCTACAATTAACCCCCAGAAAACCAGAAGTGGAGCTGTGGCTCAAAGTGGCAGAGCACTAGCCTTGAATGAAAGAGCTCAAGGGCAGCACCCAAGCTCTAAATTCAAAACCCATGATGGAGGAAAAAAAAAGTTCTAGGGATTAGGGAGGTAGTTTAAAGATAGAAGATTGGCCTGTTACACTGGGTTGGATCCCAGCATCAAACAGAAAGAAAAAAAAGTTCTTTACTTTAAATCAATTTTCATCTTTGCCTTAAAAAGAAAGTATCCCCTTTGATAGTCAGATGCCAGTGGCTCATGCCTAGAATCCTATAATCCTAACTACTCGAGCCGCTGAGATCTGAGGATTGAGGTTCAAAGCTCAGGCAGGAAAGTCCATGAGTTTCTTATCTCCAAAGGGCTACCAAAAAGCCAGAAGCAGAGCTGTGTGTAGATCAAGTGGTAGAGCATTACCCTTGAGCACAAAAACTCAGGGACAGCACCCAGGCCCTGAGTTAAAGCTCCATGAGTGGCAAAAAAAGAAGTATCCACTTTGAGTCAGGTATTAGTCACTAGAATGTTCAAAGTTATTTCCAACTGAAGTCTCAGTTACTTGAGTTTCTTTTCAGCCTTTGTATCAAACCAAAACATTATGAGATAAATAAAAAATAAGTATAGCTATTATAAAACAAATGCTGGGAAGAAGTGTACTCATTACCTCACTCATGTAACTGTAACCCTATGTATAGTATCTTTACAATAAAAAATAAATAAATAAATAAAAATTAAAAAAAATAAAACAAATGCTGGGGAGGGGAGAATTGGTAGTTCACTTCTATAATCCCAGCACTGAAAAGGCTGAGGCCGAAGAATCATGAGTTTGCAGCCAGTTTTGCTCTACATAGGAAAACCTTGCCTACTTAAAAAAAAAAAAATGTATATGAGAATACAGCCGGGGCTGGGAAGGTGGCTCAGTGGTAGAGCGCTTGCCTTGTATGTATGAGGCCCTGGGTTTGATTCCTCAGCACCACATAAGCGAAAAGAGCCAGAAGTGGCGCTGTGGCTCAAGTGGTAGAGCGCTAGCCTTGAGCTGAAGAGCTGAGGGACAGCGCCCAGGCCCAGAGTTCAGGCCCCACGACCGGACCCCCCCCCAAAAAAAAGAATACAGCCATCTTTTCAAATGGATTAATGCCCACACATATTCCATCACTTCCTAAGGTCTTTAACCATTCCCTTGTAATTGCTTCTCTTCTTAACTTTGAGCATCAGCAGGTCTTCTCTACCTTAAGAAAACCATACAGACCAAATCATCCTATTTAGATCCTTATATTCAATGTTAAATATTGAAAACAAGTGATTTACTGCCTCCATTTTCTAACTACACATTAGCTTGTAAACCTCTTACACTTGGTAGTTTCTGCATCTATCTATCAATGGCAATTTACTAGACAGGGACTACCAGAATATCCACATTACAAGAGCACATGGATGCTCTCATAATTCCGGTCTTTGACCACTAAGAAAACACTTGCCATCAGTAATGGACATGACAATAAAGGATAAATACAAATGCTATTTTTCATATGAAATCCAGCAGTCTATGTATGACCATTCATCATATACCAATTAGGTTCTCAGTCTTTTTAGAATAAAAATTATGGTCAGGTGTGATGGCGGCATCTTGTAATTCCAGAACTCACACATGTAATCTCAGAAATTAGGTGTTTAGGTGGAATCACTTGAGACAAGCCTTTTGAAAACAACCTGGGCAATACAGTGACTCCTCATCTCAAAAGAAAAAGAAAAAGGAATGAAGGAGAGAGAAAGAAGAGAAGAGAGAAGAGAAAGAAGAAAACAGAGAAGAGGGAAGAGGGAAGAGTTGGAAGAAGAAAGAGGGAAGAGAAGGGAGACTGACTTACTCAGCTACCACTCTACTTGGATTATAAGAAAAGCAATTTAAATGTTTCTAAATGGTTTCTGGAAATTCTTAGGCTCTATGATACTACACTCACTTGGATTTTCTTTACTGCAACTTGTCCTCTGTGTCTGATTGGTATAAAATAGTTTAATGCATATAAGATTATAGGTGTGACTTCATATGTACCAAATTCAGTTAATTAACACTTCAAATTCAATCAAATCTTAATATATCTTCAATATATCCTCTAAAATGTAATTTCATGAATAATTCAATTCCACTTTTTTTTTTTTCTGTTGGTTTTGGTGCTTGAACTCTGGGCCTGGGCACTGTCCCTCACTTCAGCTCAAGGCAAGCGCTCTACCACTTGAGCCACAGCATCACTTCCAGTTTTCTGGTGGTTAATTGGAGATGGATCTCACGGATTTTCTTGCCCAGGCTGGCTTTGAACAGTGATCCTCAGATCTCAGCCTCCTGGGTAGCTAGGATTAAGCAGCGGGCTTAATTCCACTTTTTAAAATGATTGTATGCTGTAAAATGTTTTTCTACTATTGGTATAAATAAATATATATAACTCAGTTCTATGACTTTAAGGAAACCGTCTTAGTGCCATTCTGGAAGTTTCTGACTTAAGATACAGTATTTGATCATAAGAGATAGTAACACTACCAGTAACCCTAGGAATTCTGGTCATGTCTGCACATTTTCGTTAGCCTGAGGAATAACTTACATCTTTGTATTATTGTTCCCCTTTTTAATTTGGACCTTATTTCAAAGCATACTACATATTTTACCTAATAGTTGTCAAATTCACCTTAGCAAAATTCTTTTCTCTCTC